ACATTGAAAAACTGCATGAATTTAATAGAATTTCATTGTTTACAAATGAAACACCCCGAGACTGAATGAATCTGATGGACTAGTACCAATATTTCTGGTCCAATACAGTTGCAGCAGTGAAAATCGAAACACTTTTTTGAAAACCATCGCGGCGCGGTGACTTTTTTTTTCTAATGCCGCGGCGCGGCAGCGGCAGAGTTTCAGCCGCGATGGACATCTCTGAAAGGGAGAGCGACATCATAACAAATCATTAGTAGAATACTGAGATTAATATTTTCTAGTAAAATATTTTTTTTATTTATGTTTATAAAAATAAATATAACTACAAATCTAATATAATATTGTTTTTCAAACCTTTTTATCATTATTAATATTTCGTTGTATTTTTTCAATATCTTCATGTGTTTGATTAATATTATATTGAAGTTGTTCTTGTAATTGTTTTTTTTGTTCTAATGTTGATGAAGAACGTGTTAATTGTTGTTGTATATGTTCATAATTTGAATTTAATTTTTTATGATAATCTAATTCAAAATCTAATTTATCTGGTGAATATTCTTGTGTTAATGTTTGACATTCAGAAAAAAGACGTCGTTCACGTTCTTCAAGTATTTGTATTTCATGTTGAATATTATCTTGATATATTTGTCCTTGATGAAGAATTACATCATAATATTCAATTTCTATATTAAAAAAAAAAGAAAAATCAAATTTTATTTAATAGAAAATATTTGTTTTTTTTTTTTACAAAACTTTTCTTATTAACCTTTTTGTTTTTCATTTAATTCATTTTTTTGTTGTTCAATTTGAACTTCTTGTGATTTAAGTACTTGTAATAAAGCAATATATTGTTGTTGTTGTTGTTGAGTATTTATATGATTATTATTTGATTGATGAACAATATGAAATGCACTATTATCATGCATAGATGATGGTACAGCAGATTTTGCTCTTGTATGATTAATAGTATGATGATTATCTAATGAATTTTGTATAGGTGTACGTGATAAACGTTTATGTATAATAGGTGATGATAATGATTCATTCGAATGAATTGTATTATTGCTATTATTTTTATTTGTGGATGGAAATATTTGATGTAAATTTGAACGTTTTTTATTTGAAGATGATAATGTTGTAGAACTAACATAACTATTATTATTTGCTATTGTTCGAAAATAACCAGATGAGGAATTTAATGGTGAAACAACTATGACAAAACAAAAAAGTAATAATATTGTTTTTAAAATACAAATTATAATTGATTTTTGTTCATTTTGATACAATTATTTACTTTCGTCATCGGATGTCATTAACCTTCTCTATTATCTTTATCTTTGCTTGTTTTAAACTTTACATTGTATATAGTAACTATATATATATATACATATATGTTAGACATATGTGTCAAGGTATACATTATTGTCTTCTTTAGTCAGTGACTTTTTTTTTTTTTTATTGATTGAAAAGAAAATGAAAGAACTTAAGTTACATTTTACTTATTGCATGATGAAATATTCAATGTATTCTATCGTTCGGTATATATATATATGTCTTGAACTATTACATCATGTTTGTTTTTTTTTAAAGAGTACTAAGCAACAATAGATTTTTGTATGTAAGACTAATCTTTATAATGGACATGCAAGCACCAAGCTGATTAGACTTGAGATGCTTGATTTTAACTTCATTCTTCTTCTTTTGTCTTGAACGTGTTATTCAAACAATAAAACGAAATACTGTCTATGTATATTGTTCGATGCTAAGTGATCTGCATATATATTTAGACATATGATTACATGTTCATGATACTACTTATTTTATCGAAAAAAAAAAAGTATATCAATGGATTATAAAAATAATACTGCCTTGAGCTTTTATATGAGAAAAGTAAATGAATAATGTAGAGTTTTTCAATAGAATCAATGATTCTTTTACTTTACAGAATAAAAAAAGGTATATATATATGTAATTATATTTGCTTGTTGTACTAGAAAAATATGGTCCTTTAGTGAATCATATTATTGTACAAGGTCATTTTTAAATATACATATTCATGGTTAATATGTTGTCTACATCTCTACAACAATAAAATTTATTCACATACTGTCAACAGTTGTCTGTTGTTGTTGTTTTTGTTGTTCGATTGGTGTTTTTCGTCCATCTAAACTTTTTGAACGTTTTTGAACATATGATAAATTTATATTTGATGGATTTTGTTGTAATATATAAATCCAATCAGGATGATGAATAAGTTCACATGTTAATTCATTTGGTGATAATGTTCTTTGAATACCATCTGGTGAACATTGAATTAATGAATATCTACCTGCTTTACCTTTATATTGAGCAAGTGCTATGATAATATCATGTACAGTAGTTTTTCGAGTTAAATCACAGATGATACGTGCAACACCATCAACATACACTCGAAGGTCCATACTGGCGCATCGCGAGTTATTTTACTAAAAAAGTAAAAAAAAAAAAAAAAAAAGAAACGAGAAAGAGAGAGAAAGAACAGAACATATACAACAAATTTCACAATCAATCAATAGTAGTCGTCGCCGTCTTTATCGCTGCCGCGAACGAACGCAAAGAATAAGGGAAGAGAGACTCGCGCTTCTGAGCAAATAAAAGAAATGAAGAAGAAACAAAATCAGATAGGAGTAGGCGAATATACACCTCAATATATATGTATTGAAACTTGTCAATGATCATTTAATCATTGACAAATGAGCAATATCATATGAGTTAACATCTTAAGTTATATATGCATATGTATACAAGGAAAGAAATATGAACGATATGTATTTAAAGAAGAAAACGAAAAAAAAAAAAAGAAGTTTTTATCATTCAATTTAATGGCGAGAACACTTAAATTTATTTGAAAAAAAAAAGGAAATAGTGAAATTGAAAAAAAGAAGTCATACGTAATCAAAAATCAAATTATTTTTTTTTTACTCTCTTATGTTTGCATTGGTAATTGCTTGATACTTTCTTTTTCTATTTCAATTTACTATGAACATTTTGTTTTCTTTTTTTTTGTATTATTTTAAGTTCGTTCTATTTTTTTTTGTTTCTTCATAAAAAAAAGTTCAATATAGATTTTCATTAGTATGAAATAGATTTCAATTATCTAATTGCAACGTAAAAAAAAAACAAAAAAAGAAAGTATTACACAATCATATTTTTATATAAGTGTTTATATCATTATCTAAGGTATCTGTTAAGCTCAAAGGATTAACTATGATAATTGTCAAACACTTAACGAGTAATTAATATATGACCTTAAAAATAAAGTTGACATAACTTGTGAAAGTAAATCATTAAGTACTTGAAATAGATTTACAAAAAAACAAGTTAGATTATACAATATATCTTGAATATTTGTTCAAGTGGTAAATGAAAAAAAAAAAAAATTATACTAAAATTAAATTATTTTTCCTAGTGTAGTTTTTTCTATATGCAAAAGATATTTTTATTAATGAACAAATAACTAAACATTCACAATTGTTGATTTTATAAATGACATATATTGTTCTCGAAATCTCTGCTGGATTAAAATATAAAAGATCATGTAACTGTTGTTAGTAATCACAGAGAGATTGTTTTATTCTATATCTTTTTTTTTTTGGGGACATAGTTCTTCACCATCATTGTACTTAATCCTTCACAAATATAATACGGAAGTAGTTCTTATATTACAACGAGACGTTATTGGTATATAGTCTGTAATATTCCCAAGGTTATATCTATCATACTCCGTGGGGGAGTAGAAGGGCGTCTACGTTTTCATCCGTCTACTTCAACACTCATCGTAAATCAAATTAAAAAAAAAATAGAGATTTGTTCGTACACATGACATACTTAATCGAACTATCTACTTTGCTAGAATTCTACATTCAAATAACATCGCATGACATTCACCATAAGTATATATCTATATATATAAGATTTCTAATATTTTCTATTCATTAGCTTTTGCTTTTTAGTGTTTTCATCTAGGTAAAAATATTCTTTTACATTGTATCTTATTTCTCAAAAACGAAATGTCAATAATCACAGAATCGAGAAAAAGAAGAAAAAAACACTTTTGCATTGATACCAACCATAAATCTTTTGTAGATGAATTTTATGCAGTTATAAATTCTCTATGTAATCAAAACACTAGATTTTATA